CCAACAGCCTGGTGCCCGATGGCTGGGATGCTCTGTGGAATGTCAGGAAAACACCACGGCCTCTGGCATTCCAAAAGCCCCGACTGTTCTTGTGGCCAGGATTTGGCATCCAGGCAGGCACTGATGGTGGCCCATTGCTCCGATACCATCCGGCGGGTCTGGAACACCTGGTTCTGCCTCCCTGGAGCCTGGCAGCGATGGAGCCCGGTCAGGGAAGAGCCACATTGTCCCTGCAGGCCACATCCAGGCCTTCACTCTGTCCTTGCTCTCTTACAGGTTGGCGTTGGCCCCGGTGAGGGATTTAATGTCAATGTAGCCTGGACTGGAGGTCTCGACCCCCCCATGGGGGACCCCGAGTATTTGGCAGCTTTCAGGTACCATTTCTTGCATTTCTGCTCTTTCCTTGGGCCTCAGACCGAGCCAGGGACTCAGGTAGCTGCTCTGAACTCTCAGAAGGGGAAGAGCAGTTCAGGACTGGGGGGCTGCGAGCCCGAAATGCCACCCCCAAGCTGCCCCAGCAGGGGACAACACATGTCAGGGGGGCCCTAAGCACAGCCTGATGCACACCCCTCCTTTGCACCCCTCCTGTGATATGGAAAACAAGGCAGAAATGCAAAGCAAGGGTGTTTTGTAGAACCATGCAGAGCCATGGGCTCCCCAGCCCTCAGGGACACCCGCCGCTTCTGAGGTCCTTGAGGAGAGCTGAGGCTTTGGTGTCCTTGGGGTCCCCAGCCTGGGGGACACATAGAAAAGCCTCAGGTCCTCACTGGGACCCAGCATTGAGCACCTCTTCCTTCTTTTCCCCGCACAGGACCGTGGTGATGCCAATTGCACATGAATTTTCCCCTGACGTGGTGCTGGTGTCAGCTGGCTTCGACGCAGCCGATGGCCACCCACCACCGTTGGGTGGCTACAAAGTCTCTGCCAAATGTAAGGAGCTGCAAGCAATGTTGGTGGGATGCTGGAGCAGAGCAGGCTGCTCCTGCTGCTGCTCCAGGCTGGGGCTGGGACGTGGCTCTTGGGAAGGGGCTGTCCCTTAAGTGGCAGCTCTTCGTAGAGCCAGCAAAGCTCTTTGGGGTGTTACTGGCTCCAACATCTTGGATGGGAAGGCTAAAGGCCCCTTCATCTTCCTCCCCAGGCTTCGGCTACATGACGAAACAGCTGATGAGCCTGGCTGGAGGAGCCCTCGTCCTCGCGTTGGAAGGTGGCCATGACCTCACGGCCATCTGCGATGCCTCCGAGGCCTGTGTGTCAGCCTTGCTGGGCAACGAGGTGAGAGATGGGGCTTGGTGGGCCCCGGGGGAGCCACATCCCTGTGGTGGAGCCGGGAGGGAGCCCGTGCTCCCATCCCCAGGTCGGGAACTGACGGATTGCCCGCTGGGAAAGGGGAGGATGCGTTTCCCTCTCCAGCCAAAAGGAGCTGGGTGGTCCAGGGAAAGGTCCCGATCATAGAATCATAGAATCATGGAATGGTGAAGGTTGGAAGGGACCTCTCGAGGTCACCCAGTCCAACCCCCTGCACACGCAGGGTCACCTAGAGCACGTGGCACAGGGCTGCGTCCAAGCGGGTTTGAAGATCTCCAGAGAAGGAGACTCCACAACCTCTCTGGGCAGCCTGTTCCAGGGCTCTGGCACCCTCAGATGACCAATTTGGGCACAGGCTGAGCAGCAGGTGAAGCAGCAGGTCCAGATGGCTGCTGCGGCGGGCAGGGTTTGGTGCTTTGAGCTTCAGTTCTGCTATGATTGACTTAAGTCACCTCAAATAAGCATGAACTAAAGGCTGCTGAGCACAGGCTGTGGCTTTTGCGACTCATCCTGGAGCTGAGCTCCCTCCCTCTGATTCCCGTGTCTCTTCCTTTGGCAGCTGGACCCGCTCCCAGAAGAAAGCATGAGGCAGAAACCAAATCCCAATGCTGTGCGCTCCTTGGAAACGGTGATCCAGGTCCAGAGTGAGTGTCTCGGGGTCTCGGGCAGGAAGGTTAGCCTGTGTACAAGATCAGTGCTGCCACTCGTGTCCCAACAACTCCTGGTCTTTGCTCCTTCTTCAAGGTAAATACTGGGTGGCTGTGCAGCGCTTTGCCTCCAAGCTGGGATGCTCCTTCCTGGAGGCGCAGCACCACGAAGCAGAAGAGGTGGAGACGGTCACGGCTTTGGCCTCCCTCTCGGTGGCCGTGATGGCAGAGAAGAGGTGAGGGCCCTTCATGAGCCGTGGGGCGTGCGGGTGCCCCTGGCTCTCCGTGTCCCTGGCCCTGAGCCTTGCTTAGGGTGACAGTAAAGACAAGCCACGTCCCACAGCCAGATGAGATGCTCAGGATGGTCCTGGCTTTAGGCAGGTCTTGGGGTACAGAGAATAGAACTTAAAACTGTTATCCCCACCCAGAGCTCTGACCGTGTAACCCTGATGTCCCGGGACATATTTGGCCCCAGGGGTTCAGCACCAGTGAGGGGTTGGGGCAAGGTCCTACAGCCACCCAGCCAGGACCTGGGTTTGCTTCTAGGGGATCCAGCACTGGCCTCTTCACTGTCCCTTGTGAGTTGCCCAGTGCCATGGGACCAGCTGTGGCAAGTGGAGCAATTTCTGAAAACAGTCTCAAACCCAACCAAACGCAATGAAAACCAGACCAAATCCTCTTTTCCTCCCGTCACCTGCGTACAGCAGCATCCTCATCTGTCCCCCACTGTGTCTCATTCGTGTCAGGACTCAGCCTGGATAGACATGGGAAGCACTGGGAAGAAGGGAGGCTGTTGTGTAGCCCCAGCCCCAGAAGTCAGATATGGCAGAAGGTGTCTCCGTTGTTCTCCACCTCCTCTCATGGGCTTTGTTCTCCGTTTCAGGACACAGGATGAGCCCATGGAGGAAGAGGAACCCATGAACCAGTGATGAGCGGTGACGTTCTCTGCTCCCCTGCTTCCAGGAAGCGTCCGGACTCTTCCCGAGCCCGGCACTCGCTCGTCACTCCTGGTTCCCGTTTGCCACATCATCCTCGCTCCTCGAGTCGCAGGCCTGGACCTTGGCTCCACCAGAAGGGATGCTCCTATTCCCACCTGGAGGACATCCTCCCGCTCGGGACCAGTGGAGATCCACAAACTCCCTCGGCAGGGCACAGCCTTGCAGCCCTGGCCCGTGCCTGCCCTCAGCCCCCAACTTTGGGACCCTAGACCCCTCTGGGGACACATGTGAGAGGCCTCTGGCTCTGGTGGCAGCAGGATGCAGACCTGCCCTTCTCCTGGGATCTTCCTCACCCTCGGGAAGGGAGTGGGAGCGGGGATGGATGCCATGGCTGGACTACGGATGGTCCTGCACCCAGAGCTCCTCTCCGAGCAGCCAAAGAGCCCTCTGAGGACAGCCCTGTGTTTGCTCCGGGAGGAAAGGCTCCCTGTGTCTCCTCTGGAAGACTCCAAGGTGCCTTCTCCAAGGTGCTCCCCTTCCTCTCCCATAGGGTTTGAGGTGGGAGTGTGACAGTGACGTGGGCCAAGAGGCTCGTTCTGCACAAGAAGGGCTTGGAAAGCGATGGATGATGAGCAAACCGCCTTGCAGTGAGGAAAACCAAGGGCTGGAGTGTCCACAGTGCCCAGGATTGCACCTATGGGACATCCTAACCACTAACCAGAGCATGAACCCTCTGGTGCTGGGGCTCTGATTTGCACTATATACATATGACACGTGCTAATGTGAACCTTAACGTACTCTTCTTTCCATGGGAATTTCGGGAACAAACGCCTCTTCGCGTGGATACTAACGAGGTGCCTTGAGCCCTTTCGGCAACCCAACCATCCGCCACCCCGAGGGTCGGTATCAACGCCAGCCCCTGGGATTGGGAAAGGGGGGCACCCGGCTGTTTTCCAAGGATCCCCCGGAGCCGGTGGCACCCGCTGCCACCTCTCGCCACGGCTGCGTGCCCCAATGCAGCCCCTGTCCCCGGGTGGGCTCTTCAGCCCTATCCAAGCTCAGAAGATCAAGTCCCATCATCTTCTGCTTAGCGCTTATTTTCCCCAGGGCTGCCTAAAGCCCCAGCAATACTTGTCTCGATGGCCTTAGGGTGACAGTGACCCACATGGACACGTTGGTTTGGCCCTTTCCCCATCTCCTGCTGCACTTGGGCACCAGCCACCCCCTGGCACCTGCCCCTGTCTTCCCTGATCCCTGTGGGTTCGATTGGACCCTGGCTCTGCTGCAAGGACAAGGACAGACCCGGGATGTCGGCGTCACAGCAGGGGGGACAGCAGGAGCGAGCGAGCGGCCCGGGGACAGCGCGGGGCCACCAGGAGCTCAGCGGAGGGCACGGACAGGGCAGCCAGGTCTGCAGGCCCGGAGTTTGTAAAAAAAATAGCAAAGGAAAAAAAATATTGGAAGAATAAACATTTCTTTGTCTGAAACTGCCCAGAGCTGGGTCCAGCAGTGCCAGCCGGTGGCACAGAGGTGCACGCGGTCCCTTGCGGCCAAGGGCACGTTAGGAAGGTCATCGTGCTGCCTGTGGCACCCTGTCTTAGTGCTGGCACCATCTCTTCGTCCTGGTCTTGGGGACATGCACACGGGTCCCTGCTTGCTTTGCTTCATGGTGGGTCTTCTCCAAACCAGGTGTAATAAGTGCATGTTTTCTACCTACCCGGGTTGTTTCTCCCCCTTGAAGCCC